TACATTACAGAGTGAGAAACAAGTTTAATTGGTTCCTTATAAAAAGGTAATCTTGGCCTTCAAATATAATTTGGGTTATAATTCACTGGAAGCAGCCTAAAGAGGATTTTTCTGTTATTTTAATCACCACAAGTTCATTCAGACACAGCTTTCTTTCAGATCAAATTAATAATCCTATCTGATAATATTCCATGCATTTAATCTAAACTTTCTAGACAACCAGCTAGCTACAGGGGAATGGAAATTTGTAATGCCATTGCAGTGTGGAATGGAAATTTGTAATGCCATTGGAGTGTTCTCCACAGCCCTACCCAAATTTAAAGCAAATGGCATACCTTTGACAAATTCACCTCTTCTGGGTTCCTGCTTATCCTACTCATGCAATAAGTGGATTCCTAAAATCTCTTATACACTGATTGCTTAATTTTTTCTTTCTGACAAGCATTCAGAACGTGATCACATCTAGCTGTTTGTTAGCTTGTTCTTTTTCTCAGATCCTCTGAACTGATTAAACACCTTAGCAAACTGATTTTTCATCGTGTTCAAAGCTGAAACCTGCTCCATCACTTTCCATCAAAGGTGGTAAGATTACAAAGGTGCCAACACATTAGTGACCTCTGAAAAATCTCTTTCATTCCTACCTTTCTCTGCTATTGCATTTCACATCTCTGCAAATCCCTTAACTTCAGTGGTAGTAACATTTCTTCTGAAAAAGAATTGTATGCAACCAATTACACAGAGTATACTGGTGCTAAGAAACACAGTGGTGTTTCACTGTGGCAAAACAGCTGTTTCGAATAACTGGTAGGTCCTGTTCCAACATCTCTGATATTTCTTAAGTTAGAATTTCAAGGTCCACAGTTCCTGTAAAAGTCCTACTCAAGTAACTGAAATACCCTGCTTAGAACCTATATAGTTATATTAAATGATGCTTCCCACAAAAAGATAAACCAAAGGCACCAAGATTAAAACCACCACTCTCTGGCAAAGCTTTTAAGAAACTAGCAAAAAATAATTTGACAGATATCCATGTTGTATAAAAGCAGCATGCTGCTGCTCCCTCCTCGGCACATCATCTTAGGTTCCTACAGCACCTGGCAATGTGGTCTCCAATGCAATTCTGGCATTTTGTTTCCTTTGGTTTTGAGGATTTTCTTTCCAGTCTCACAAGACTACTAAACACTGTTCAAGAAAAAATGGTTGCCAGATCTAGAAGGGATTACTGCAATTCCAGGAAGACTTTTTTTTTTTACCAACTCATTTATCACATGCTAAAATCTGAATGTAGCAAATAAATTGCATGTATACATATATAGAACTGAAACCAGTCTTCTGTTTAAAATTAACCAGGAACTTAATTATACATAGGCTAAATTAGGTGCTAAGTACTATCATTTGACATCATCCTAATTTAAGAGAAATAGATTTATCTGCAGGTGCTTGGAAATTAACCAAAAGATTTAGTGTTGCCTTGTCAAAAGCTCACTACGCATTTTCCATGGAATTTATCCAAGAGACATACCCTGTTTCTGAATGCCAAACACTATCTCTATCACTAGTAGGTCACTGTGAATTTTAGTTTAAGTAAAGAAGTTGGGCAGAACATGCAAAAGGTACCAGAGTTCAGTCTGCCTGCTGCTAGACCGAGGAAACGTACCAAGGAAGAGCTCATCTGACTTCCATTTTCAATGGAATTTGTGATTTTTAAGTTGAATTTGAATGTCCATGGGTTTATCCATTTGCAACTCAGTTCAAAGTATAGCTATGTGGCAAACAGAGAATAAAGAGCACTTAAAAGAGTCCCAGGTTAGAAATATCAGTAAGTGGTGATCTTGTTTTTCTTATAGTGCTTCTCCTAGTCTGTCTTTAGACAGTCTTGAGAAAGGAGATGAACAGGAAATAAATTTTCCAACAGCAGCCTGGAAAAGACTCTGTGGCTTAGTATAGACACAAACCTCTTCCAACTTCCCCTTGCTAAAGCAGAAGAAATAATTTGTGGGTGATCTTTGCTTACTATATATCCTTTCCACCGCAAGTGTTGGGAAGATCTGTGGCTGTATTAATTCTCTAATTTCCTTCCCACACAGCTTCCTTGACACAAAAGCACACTGGCATCTGCCTACTCATCACAAGAGTCTTACTGACTGGCATAAGTGTTAAAATGTAGTCTTCAATGTAGATACATATCAGTTTGTATGTATAAACCTGCAACGATCAAGGGGAGATAAATTTTTAACTGAAGTAAATTACACAGAATTTGCCAAATATCCAGGGTTAAAAGAGATCACCAGTGCAGTAATACTGTGTTTCTGGGAGTCTGTCTCACCAGTTCGCCAGGCCACCTTGCACCAAAATTAAAATATATTCTTCAGGTCAACATTATATCATGTTTTGACCTTGGACCCTCTGAGATCAAATAAGAGTGAAACAATAGCAGCAAACTTGGAAGGATTGTCAACCCAAAGACTAGCAAGTACAAAAGGAAGGAGGATTCTGGGCTATGTTAATAGCCATGTAGCCAGTAGATTGAGGGGAGTGATTACTCCCCTCTGCTTGGCACTTGTTAGACGTCATCTAGAATACTGTGATCAGTTTGGGGGCCCTGATACAGGAGAGACATCAGTTAAACCAACGCACATCCAGCGAAGGGCCACCAAGATGCTTAGGGTCTAGAACACTCCTATGAGAAGAAGCTAAGAAATCTGGACCTTCAGCCTGGAGAAGAGACAGGTTTGGGGGAAACTGAGCAATCCCCTGCCAGTACCTATGAGGAGATCATTGAAAAGACAGAGCCAGGCTAATACAGCAGTCCATGGCGGGAGCACAACAACAGGCACATTGAAGCAACAGAAGTTCAGATGACATATGAAAAAGAATTTTTTTACTATGACTACAGTGACAGTGAAGGAGGATACCCAGAGAGGAAGCACAGCCTCTGTTCTTAGAGGTTTTCAAGATCTGACTAGATAAAGCCCTAGTCTGATCTCATATACGTACCTCTTTTGAGCAGCAGGTTGGGTTAGATTGGCTATTAGGAAAAATCTCTTCACAAAAAGGGTTGTCAAGTGTTGGAACAGGCTGCCCAGAAAAGTGGCTGAGTCACCATCCCTAGAGGTATTTAAAAGATGTGTAGATGCAGCACTTAAGCACATGGTTCAGTGGTGGACTTGTCAGTGTTAACAGTTGGACTCAATGATCCTAAGGATCTTCTCCAACCTAAATGACTCTATGATTCTATGAATATGAGGGAATTAAATGGGAGGGGAGAGAAAAGAAAGGGAGAAACTGCTGTGTTGAGGGAATGTTATCACCTGACAGTGAGAGTTCAGGAGACAATTGGAAAAGGCACCTAGGATATAAGAAAGAGGAACTTGAAAGGAATGTGCAGAGAAACCACTGCAAAGAGTGAGGAAGGAGAAAAAGAGGAAGATGTAGTCATAGATAACTAGAAGATCTGGAGACTAATGGGCAGATAGAGTCAATAAACTGAGAGATAGGAAATTCTAAACGATTCACTTCACTCTGAAAGGAGCATTGGCTGTTCCAAAGTGCCTCAGGAAGGTTCCACCTGCCTCCCTTTCTTCATGGCAGCCCAATCTTTCAGTGGGAAAGCCAGTCTACTAGGAGCTGATGCAGAAGCCTTCCAAAACCTTCACCCAGGCTGCTGCAACAGGCTGCCTTAAGACACCAGAGTCAGTGAAGGAGTTAGCAAAGTATTTACTGACCAATGGTTAATATATTTCACATTACCCCCAAAAATGTACACGAAAATATGCATGCTTACTTGATTGATCATGCAGGGTTTTGTTAAACTGTGCTATGCTCGGGTATGAACCTGCACCTTGTTTCAATGTCAAACAGAGGCGAAAGACTGAAAGCAAGGTTTTAGTGCACACATCAGAATCGTTAAATGTGGAAAAGATATTTTGTCATATATACAAATATTTATATATATACACCTATTTTTATCATGCTGGGGTGCTAAGCACTGACAAAAAAATAAGTCCATGATATTTTATAGTTTTCGTCATGCACAGTTAAAAGTTGCCAGAGCATGTGTCTGCTGTGGGAGTTGCAGATGTGTTATTTCTGACACTAGATGGCAGGAGATTGAAGTAAATTATTTCCAGTGGGTAAGAGGAACCTTCTTAATAAATCAGCTTGAAAAACAAATGACTGACGTTTTGTAAATCAGGTAATAAAATCAAATTGAAAGGTATAGTGAACATTCTGAAATAAAGTAGAGCAGTTTTTTATGTTTTTAAAGCTAAGATTTGTCTTGGAAAATTACTGTTCAAATACACACATATAATCTCAGTAATTAGATGGAGTTCCTCATGGGTTAAATAAAATGGTGGAACTGATTCTACAAATTTCAAACCTCAGTGAAGTTCTCTCAGATGTGATTAGAAGCTGGTGGTGTATTTAGAAACTAAACTACATGTAAGAGTGTTGTGATGCCTCAGACCTGAGAATCCATGTTTTCTAAAAAGAGATATCAGGACAAAACCTAATGGGAGGGACAGGCTATTCCACACCAAGTAAAGGCTTTTTGCATCTTCTACTAAAGTGCTACTTGGCACAGCTAAAGGAAATAAGACGGACTAGAGTGACTGAGGTTCTGATAAGCACTTTAGCCAGGTTCATACCCACCATTTGCTCCCTTCTAAAGTTTATTCAGCGTTGTCTCTGGCTTCATTAGTTTTGGAGAAGCATCTTCAGTGGCACCAGTGCAAAGGATCTTCTTGAATTAGCAATTCTTACAAGTATCATTCGTGATTTGTCACACAGCGTCATGTTGTCTGAGAGGGATAGAAGTACTACAACACCCTTCCTACAGAGCTGCTAGGTTCTTTGGGCTGCAGGGAGCCACTTACCCCTTACAGCAGCTCTTGCTTTAGCACTGGACTTGCAAATAGGCAGTGCCTCCTCCAGCTCTTCAAGCCCATGAGGCTGCTATGCTGCAGGAAAGATGGAAAATGAGAAATATCAAGCATGCCTTACGAGTGAGGGAATATTTATTATTTTTATTTTTTTTTAAATTGTCTGCAATTACCTATCTCATGCCATAAGTGATCTGCACTAGCTAGAAAGATAGAGTATGTCTCTACCACTATATGGAACTATTCCAAAAACACAGTCCAGTGAGTTGTGGTGATACACTGTCATTCTGATTCTTTGAACTTTGAATGTCATTGAATGCTTGAAAGGATACAAGACTCCAAAAGGCATCCTCACTTTTGCTTTCATTAAGTGTTTTGTCAGTCTGTTTCTTTATCAGATGTTTGAGAGCAGTTACCAGCTACATCCATCACACAAAGCTGTAGTTAATATAATACAGAACCAATAAGACTAGACAGCACTTTTCATTAAGTGCTCTTTGAAAATGGTGAGTATCGTTATACCTCTTTTCTAGACAGGGAAATTTAAGATGAGGAAGATGATGTAATTTGTGCAGGGTCATCAGCAAGCTAGCAGCAAGGTCCAGTCAAAAAGTCCCTCAGATTCCTGGCCCCAGATTCTAGCTATTTTCTCCCAAGAGCACAGTAAATACCCATAAATATTGTTTTCTTTCGTCATCTAGTAATTTTGCTTTCATATTGATATTTTATATGTGATGGGTGATTAGGAGGTCAACTATCCACTGGTAGTGGAAAATGAGCTAGTCCCAATCTCCTACTAAATCACCTCAGCTGATGGTCCCTTCCACATTTATTGTGGATCCTATCAAATACAAGATACTTCTCTCAGATGCTATAAATTATCCACTCACAACTAGGAAAAGTAGATCATTTTGAACTTAAGCCACACAAATGAATCTTGCTAACTCATTGCGCCTCTATTTATTGCACTGGTTGAAACTGATTTGTAAATAAATGCCTTCCAGTAGTGATTTTACATTTACTTCTAAATCACAAATAAAAGTCCTAGCTCAGACTTAATACTTACATGTATGGAGCCTTGGTTAGGTGGTTCCCATTAATTACAGTGTCCTGGTAACCAGTACTTTCTGTGTTTATTTGTCAGCTAGTTCTTAAACTGTGAATTTGCATTTTATTGATATTACATAGACTAGTCTTGATTAGTGCTAATCAGAACTTCAGGCAACATGAAATCATGTACTGTAATTTTGAAAAGTCTGAATATATTGCACCTATATGGCATTCAACCCAGCTCCCAGAGGGGTAGCTTATACTTTGTGAACAAATGTCAAGCATACTTGATTTAAATCTTTTGCTGTATCTTTTTTCCACAAACCATACTGACTAGCACTACTTCCACTCCAACCCTCAGATTATTTTTTTCTAACTGTACCCTGTATAAACCACACCTCTGTCTTACCTAGGACTTGTGTCAGACTAACAAACTTATGCTTACCTGGATCAGCAACTTTGCCTTTGTAATATGTAACGTGGAACAGTATTTGACTTTTCCAGAAACTTTTCAGAAATCCCGTACTTAATTAAAATCATGAGAGGCCAGGATACAGCTTCTCTAGCTATGCTGATTAATATTTATTTAATCCCCTGTTAGATATTGTTCATTTTCCTCCTTGATTACTGCTGAAATGACTTCCCGATTCTTTTGTGGTATAAAGATGTAATGTTGCTTCTTCCCAAATACAGAATATTTCTGCATTATTACTAATAATTTACCCATCAAGCAGTGGCTCTTTGCCACTGCTAGGATTTAAACTGTACCCAATGTATTTAAATGCTTTTGTTCTTAGACTTGTCAGGCATGAATTTCTTCCTAATGGTTTTAGATCCTCTTATCATTCAGAATTTATGAAGTGTAGAATTTGTGTATCCACTGCTATATATTTATCATTTTTTCTTGTTGCATATTGTTTTGCCTTTTTTTTTTTTTTTTTAATTCCTGTACCTATTTCACTACTGAATCAGAATGGGCTTTTAGCCAGTGCTGTCCTATTTCCTGGGAAATAGAAATAGTTGAATTGTATCTTCAGGCCACAAAATAACTTCTCAAAGGACATCCAATTCAATACAGTTATTACTTCTGTATAATAGTGTTTAGAAAACAACATATTTTTTTCATTTAGCCTTTAACAAATCCCAACCAGTGCCCTTCCTGGGTTTTGTTAGTATGTTGATCCACAAGAGCATTCAAGATCCCACAATTCTTTCTTAATCAGCTTTCAAACAGGTAACAGTGTATTTAATGTGAAAGACCTTACCATTATATGCTTTCTACTCTCTCTACCCTCACTACATGGGTTAAAAGTAGTTTCTCTGCAGTAGAGTAGCTGGTCTTTTTGAAACTTTACAAAGGAAGACTGTATTACAGCTGTTTGACAAAGGGATGCCATCGATTATCTGTATTTCTGGCGGGTAACTGTGAATATTGGCAGAATGAGCAACTGCCTCTAAACCACTCGATGGCATTCTGAACACCCAATATGCATGGAATGGAAGGAAACATCATGGCACTTCTCATGCTCTGGAAGGCACAAATATATTCCAGCAGTGGGATGGTACAACCTTCAGATAGCTGTGTGGACATTTCTTCTTAAGTATTGACCTTCCCAGCTGCTAGAGAATGATCTAGATTATCAATCTGAATCCTTGGATTTAATCCAGAGACAACTGTCTCTGAGCTAAAAGATCTTTGCTATGGAAACAGTTTCCATGGTACATGGATAACCTAAATCTGACTATCAGATGTATCAACCAATCTGACAAAATTTTACTAAAGTACATACAGACTTATTTTCTGTTTTCTTGGAAACAACAGTATTCTCAGCTGCAGTCACTTGTTCATCCCCATCGATAACTGTGTCACAGGAAGCAAAAGGTGATTCTGCCAAAATACTTCCATATTAGTGAAGATGTTACTTGGATAGACTATCCCTGACAGTTCATATGGATCTTCACAACTAAGCTTTGCACTAACAGAGGGCAGCAAACTGTAATTCATTCCCAGGGAAAAGGTCCCAATGCTCTTCTTACTTGGTGTCGTAGAATAAGGAGAGTTTTCACTCTATGGATCCTGGGTTCAAAAATGTTCATTGCTTGTCTCATGTATCAGGTGCATGTTGTGGACAGGAAAGCAGAACACCAGCTGGGCTGGAAAAAAAACAAAAAAACAAACAACAAAAAAAAAAAAAAAAAAACAACAAAACAAACAAAAAAAAAAACCAAAAAAAAAACCACAAACTTTTAAAGTTTAGCAAGATAGTTGAATTGATAATTGAATTGATAATGCAATCTGAATTTTTTTACCTGGAGAATTTAATTACTTAATTACTTGTTGAAGCTTCACATAAACCTGTGTTAAGTGTTATTGTAAAGTCACACAGAGATTGAAGGATGATATGTGAAACACTTTTAACAGTGTTGAGAAACAGCAGAGGAAGGCATGGCTTACAGAGGTAACAAGTTGCTGACTGACTGACTACTGAGAGAAGTGAAAGATGGTTTAACAGGCTCCTAAGGGGTAAAAGTATCTTCTACTCTGCTTGGCTGTTACTGCTGAGTGGTTTTATGTGTTTATGTCTGTGTACATAACATAGCAGTTGAGAACCCTTTTTTTTTTTTCCTTTTTTTTCTTTTACGTATTGCTTTCAGCTTTTTTTCTTGTTCATCCAACAGTGAAACACTATCAAGAGACAAGTACATTGTTACATTTGCAGGGGGCAAAGGGAGGGTGTCATTTGCTTATGTAGAGAAGTTTAATCAATACAAGTAAATATAAAGTGAAAAAAAAATTGCATTCCCATGTCCCAGCCGCTTGTTGCTATGCCTGAAATTACCATGTTTAAGAGAGCAATGAGTAGTGAAGACTACCTGCTACCGAAAGGATCAAACACTAGGTACTTTACCTAATGAGGAAAAAGAGATACTGTGGTCAGATCATGTACTATAAGCTGTAGCTTAGGCATCACACTCAGGTAACTCTCCCTTTCAATAGCAAAGAGAAAAAGCTAAAATGTAATCTAAAATGTTCTTTAACTATATCATGTGTTCTTCCTGCACTGTGATGCTGTGTGAAACAGCATTACCAATATGGATGTCAGGTGAAAACAACTCTTGATCTGCCCTGGAGGAAAATATTAATAAGTATATTAAGCGATATTTTTTTTTTCTTTCTACAGACTGTTTTCAATCCTTTCTCTCTTAGCAAATAGTTAGAAACAGTTTTATATGTCCTTTAAAATTAGAAAGAGTACATAACAGTTCACTTTTGAAGGAAGGGGCCCCCAACAGGAAATTATTACAGATAACTTTTTAGGTATATTCTAATTATTCAGTTCAAATATCTGGATCCCACAACTTCCATCAGATGATGAAATTCTCACGATGAAATTCCTTCCTGAACCAAAATTATGTAAAGTCAGCTCTTGTTAAGTCAGTAGAATATTTGTCAAATTAATTCAATGGCTATACATTCAAGTAGAGTGTTAATCAGAAATATGAGGGTTTGAGTTCAGATTATTTTTTTGGCATTGTATTCTCATACTGATGACTATGCTGCAACTTCTGTTACCCACAAGCTGCTGTCACCCTGCCTCTTCTGGGTTTGTAACGCCTCACCTCTGATTTGAGCTGCAAGGCTATGGATGTGATCACTGCTTTAACTACCAAGACGGAGAAGGTAAACGTCAAGTTAATGTCAGGGAGCAGCGAAAGCTGGCAGCTCCCTGTGGGCTGGGAGCTTTGGGGAGTCCCCAGGGTGTCAGGGCACAGCTGGGGACACTGGGAGCAACCCCAGCCCGGGGCACTGGGCTCCTCCCTGGGGACGGGGACCGGCCCAAGACAGGCGGGGACATGGGCCCACGGGTGGGCCTGGCTCGGTGGGACCCACGGCCGGGCAGGGCAGGGCTGTGGGCAGCTGGAGACCGCCCGGCCTTGCTGCGGAGTCACTGGGGCAGGGGCTGACATGGAGCCCTGGGCAGGAGCAGGCAGGGCTGGCAGTGCCCTCGGGGCAGGAGCAGGCAGGGCTGGCAGTGCCCTCGGGGCAGGAGCAGGCAGAGACGGCAGTGCCCTCGGGGCAGGAGCAGGCAGGGCTGGCAGTGCCCTCGGGGCAGGGAGAGTCCTCTGTCCCCCAACTGAAATAATTTCCACTCATGGCCAAGCTCACCTGCATCCAGTTTTTTTGAAAAGTTGATGACAGACAAGTAGTGTTGTCTCACTAGTGCTGCCCGCCTGTAAGACAAATGGATGTTTGCATTAAATACATTCTCGGGGTTCTTCTTTTCCTCCTCTGTTCTCTTTTCTGACGTATTTCACCAGGTCTATACTTTATTCCCTGGCTTTTCAATGGTTCACAAGTGGAATGACAGAATCCTGTAATACCAGTATTTTTCACCATTCACGTTTTCCAGTCTTTTCAGCATTTTTCAGTATTCAAGTTGTATTAAGCTCTGAAGTACATGCCACCTAATTATATACAGTTTCAAGCTATTGAGGCATCCAAATTTGAAGGAGGACAATCAAAATATCATTCCACACGCAGATGGTAAAATGACCTGATAATTATGAGGCAATGTTAAGGGCGAGAAAGGGAGGAGGAGGAGAGACACTTTTCATGCCAGTGCAGCTGACAGATAAATTAACAACTCAGTAGTTTCTGTTTCACCTACCTCCAGCATGATACTCTATGTAATGTTCCCCTTCCTCCCAGAAGATGTAATGATAGTCCTCTGCATAATGTCTGCAGATGGGAGTTGTCTGGAAGTCGCACAGCACACCATTGTACTGAACTTACTCTTTCAAAAGTAACTTTTCCTTCTAAATATTTTCATATGTGCACATATGGTAAATGCTAGTTGGTATAAATAAAACATTGGCACCTGTCATCTTTTGTGTGCAGTAGCTGCTATAGAGCAGTTATAAACACAGTTCGCTGGTTCAGGAGTCACTTAGATTTCTCACAGTGTTTCAAAATCAGCATTGTTATTTTTATTTTTTTTCTTCTCAGCATTACAAAAAATCATTATGGGGTATCCAATGATTGCAACTAACGTATATTAAAACTAGATACTGAACGTAATCTTTCATTGTGAGTATGCCACTCCCCTTGGAGTAAAAGAAGTGAAACACTATCTAAGCCTGAGTAGGCTGAGACAAGTTTGAAACTCTGGGAACCAGTATGTTTGACTTTTAGATTAAAAACACAATCTAATACAAATTCACTAATGACATGTGTTCCAGTGGTCATTCTCAGGAGACCCAAAGGCTAGACTTACAGTTGCCAAAGACTTGCTCTTTCTGCTGGGATAAATTATTCAGCCTCCCGATATCTTAGTATCCACACCTGCAAAACAACTCCAAAATAGTGGTTACATGAAGTTAGAGGAAGACTGAGATCTTTAATGACCGCAAAGTACAGAAATTCAGAGAGGGCTGGAGGAATGTGCAATACAAGTTCAATGTGTTACTAGACACAAATAATTTGTACAGAAAGTAACTACACATGATTTGCATAGGAGGCGCAAGAAATTTTTAAATTGCCATCCTCATATTTCCAAGTCCAAAATTTTCACCAGAACAGAAAAGCTAGAGAAATCTCTTTCCTAATGAAAGACTATATTTTCACTCAAATAAAAATCCTGTAGGTTTAGACATAGGAAATATTTTTTTACGTTGTTTCTGAGTGCTACCAGAGGTAAAGAGGCATCTGAGACAAAGTCTACATACAGTCACACTGCATTTTGTTTATCCAGTTACATACATCTCTCACTTAGAGAAAGAACAGAATTCTCATGAGCAATGCTTTTTTTCAGAACTCTTGACCAAAAGTTTAAAACCAGGCGGCCACATGTGTCTTAAGGCAGAACCTCAAGACAAAACAAGCTTTCCTTTGCAATGTGGCCTGCCGCTGATCCTTCAAATATTTTTTTTTTTTCTCCTAAGGGTAGTTTTAAGAAGGAATTCCATATGTATAAAGAAAGCCATGAACACAAGCATAGCAGTCTTTCCAAGACTAGAACGATGCTAAGGAACAGAACTCATCCGGTTTGTAACAGTCATCTGATGTTATCTATCAGTACGGCTTCTAAACAGTCCGGGGGGGGGGCTGATCTGATGATGATTTGTCTGTTACACATCTAATTTCCTTTAGCTGCTTCTAAAGCATACACGTATTTAAATGTGTCTCATTTCTACAAAACACTAAAGAATACTTAACCTGTGTTCCTGTCCTCCTGCAGAATAACAGAAAAATCGCAGAACAGAAGATGGAAATACTTTAAGTGAAAGAGTTCCATTCTTTCACTGAATTGAACCACTTTATAACAATTCAGTGCCACTGACACTAGTCCACATAAAATGCCTTGGTTATAATAATGCAGGACCCCAAAGTAAGCTGAAGACAGAATGTCAAGATTATTAATTGCAAAACTCATCCCTTTTAAAGACACTTGTAATTCATTTTAGAAAACTAATTACATCTGAGTACCCTCCAAGGCAATGTTCAGCACTGGTTCATTGGTACAAAACCAGCTGATTGTTTATTCTTTCCTGTGCTGCCACGTCTTAGGCCACAGCGAGGGCAGGGCGATGGTGACACCTTCCCAAGTACCATCTGTCAGCCGACCCAGCAAGAAGGACCGCAGAGCTGTGTTAGCAGGCTGAGCAGGAGGCTGAAGAAACTTAAAGGAGATGGAAGTATGGACAGGGAAAGATGCAGGGAAAGGTAGCAAACCTACACAGAGAAGCACAGACACCCTAAGCTTCTTCCCTCTGCAGCAGCCTGGTACACCAGCTAAGTTTAGACCAGCTCAGGTACCAACAGCAGCCTCTCCCCGAGAGGACAAAGCTCGGCACAACTTGAATAACCAACCCTAGGAGTGGGGAGGTCCTCAGGTTATCAGCTCCCCGTTGCTACAGTAACAGCCCTGACTACACAGAGTACTTAGTTAAAGTAAACTCGGCCATGGCACTCATGCACGGATTAGATCGCTTTCATGTTCTCACAGACCCCAAACCTTATTCTAGCAGAGAATTGGCAGGGCCACCTTCACTGTCCTTCATCCATCAAGGTCTCTCTGTGAGTTAAAAGAAATGAAGACTGGATATTGAAAAGGACATTGCACTCAATGAACGTCAGTCTTTTTAAACTAGTTACAGCAGTGCAAATCCCAGCATGAACACGTTTATTCCAATTTATTATTAACCAGTAGGTTTTAAACTAGAACAACGTAAACCTTGTTTAAACTCCTATTTCTGAACCTTTATGGCTCTAACAAACATACAGCAAGGATTGTTTATCCAAGCTAATACAACTTTCTGATGAAGATGACAGTTGGGACAGCTCAAAAGTATAAAACATAAGAAACTATTCGCCTTTTTTTGCTCTTCTGTTCAATTACAGGCTTCTCAATAAATGGCATGTTCTCAAGTTCAGGTACCAATGTAGGCTGCCTGCCCACTCACTTTACATGAAGCCTTTCTTGTTTTCATGCCATGTAGAATTGCCTCTGTTTTGGCAGCCTGTGCTCCTTGTAAAGTGTGGGCTGCTGTGATAATTCCCACATCTTGATTCATTAAGAGGGAAATCATATCTCTGTCTTCTCTCTCCCGTTCCTTCACAGGTTCTCATCACCTCCAAGTCAAAGCTGCACACCAGAACCCTTGGTGTCGGCAATTCTTTTCAGCTCCAAGAACTGAAGGAAAACTCTACTTTCTTTCTCCCAAATCCTTTGCTTAGCTGGGTGCAAGTTTTATAGCCCCATCTCGTCAGGAAAGTAGGCTTTCCACATGCATAACTGCCAGGCTCAACTACAGCGTTCTAATCCTTTCCTTGCTGCCAGCATGATGGAGTTCCAGCCCTCCCTCCAGTCTGCCCCGTCGCCTACTAAGATTTAAACTGATGGATCAGAGAGAGACAGAGGGATCTGTATTTTCCACCCTCCCCCCATCCCTATAGCTCTTAAAGCCCTTTTTGATATTTTTGAACTATTTCTCACTCCAGCTTCTCCGCAGTTCTAAAGGTGTATTTATTATTATTATTGTTTCAAACAAGCAGAATTAGTACATCTTAACAAAGATAACAATACCTTTGTTTGAGTGTGTATCCCACATTCTGTTACTTATCTTTACTATTTGGTTTTGGTGCTTGAACTCCCTTTCTTTCTCATACCTTCTTGCATTTTACTTTCAGGGAACATCGCAGAAAGGCAAGATTTAAGACTGAAATCTAGAGCCACAGAAGCCCATAATAAAATTCTCCCTAACTCCAATGGAGCCAAGTTTTTCTCTTGAAAGCAAAAATCTTAGAATAATAGCCAAACTATTTTGCAAACATAAGCCAATAGTAAAATTGTTCCTAACTCCAATACAGCCAGGTTTTCATCCTGAAAGCAAATATTTTAGAATAATAGCCAAACTGCATTTTGCAAACATTTTAATAAATCAGCCTATTACCTGATAGAATTCAGGGGCAGCAAAGATACATAGTAAGAAAGGCAACCAAGAACAGCATGTGAAATAAAGCAGTGGGTTTTGTTCCAATATAACACTCATGCGCTCCAAAAGTCACTCAACTTCACAACAGCTGACTTTATCTTTGAAGTCACCTCTGAACATACAGTAGAGCTTCTATTAAATAAATGTCTGTAAAGTTAAAGTTGCATTTATTACAAGACTGAAGATTTGCAGAACAGGTCTGGGGTTTTGCCTGTAATAAATGGAAAGTGTTTTCAACAAGAGATGCTGAACACACATCTGTGCATAAGCACACACACAGCCAAATTCACTTCGCTGTAGTCTCACCAGAAATGAATTTGGGATTTTAAGCAGGGTATATTATGGGGGGACGGGCAGCTCATAGGAGAGAACAGCAGTAACCAAACAGAAAGGAATAATCCTGCCCCGGACCGAGCCTTCTCCATCTCCAGACTCGATCACACAACTAGCGCCAGATTCGTGCCAGTATGGAAAAGAGACAAAGGAAAACGTTCATTTACCTTTCAGCCACAGAATATGAAGTGTGTGCGGTTTAATACATTCCTTTTTCAGAAAGCTCCCTGTGCCTCTGAAACATAAACAGGGATTTACAGTAGTTCTCACGCATGTTCAAATGTCAGCTGGTTTTATTTGCCCACAGCCAACTCGTCATCATTACTCTCAGAGAGGCTGAGAATCAGTTGGTTTTGAAACACTTTTTGCTCCTTTTTATGAAAGTCAACATAAAAAGTATCGAAGGGGCTGTCAATTTATTCCACATTGGCATTATATTTTTACCTACTTTTTCTTTAACAAGTACTCCATGTGTTTTCTATAAACTACAATTATTTGCAATAAAATTCTCCCCATTTTCCTTGCTATTCCCAGTGTTCTAGTGACTTCACGTGGATCTTTCACCCTCAACAGTGTGGAAAAAGAGGCAGCAAACCCGCAGTTTCCACAAACAATTCTGAGGGTTTTTTTATTTTACCAGAGCAGTCTCTCTTCCCCCCCTTCCCACTACTCGGGCCCAAGACTTCTGGCAACACTGGTAACTTGAAATCCCCCTTTCTCCTCCCTTTGTGGTTCCTAACGGACTCTCCGCCGCTTATGTTTCACTTCAGCGTACCTCTGCCCCCTCACCGCACTCAACTCTTCTGCCCGCCCGGGAAAATCACGCCGTTATTGCCCCCGACTCCACTCCCCGCGCGCCAACCGCCCCCCGGCCGGGCCGCCTCAGCGCAGCACCTGCAGCCGCACCCCCCCGCCCCCCCCCCGCACCCCTCCTCCCGGCAGCCGCCACGGAGCCGCCGTGCCCAACTCCCACACCCCCTTTACCCCCCTCCCCGGCGCAGGGCGGCGGGGCCGCGCACCCCCCGCACCCCCCAGCCGGGCGGGCGCCTCCCCGCCCCGTCCCGTCGCTGTCGCCGTCCCCCCCCCCTCCGTGCCCAGAGCGCGGCGGGGCTGAGGGCGACGTCCTTCCCACCCCCCCCCCCCCCCCCCCCCCCCCTCCCCTCCAACTTTCTCCCCCCTCGCCGCTGGCGACCGGCGACACCTCCGACCGCTCCGGCCGTTCCTCCCGGCCCCCGCCTCCGCGCCGGCTTTGTGTGGGCGCCGCCAACCTGGGGCGGGCGCGGCCCCGCTCCGCACCGCGCCGCCCCGCACCATGCCGCCCCGCACCACGCCGCTCCGCGGGCGCCCCGCCGCGCTCCTGCCCCTTTGTCTGCTCTGCCTCCAGGCTGCGCTGCCGCTCCGCGGCCGCTACGCCGGGTAAGTCCGCCCGACGCCCCGCTCCGGCCCCGGGGGCGGGGGGGGATCTGCGCCGGCACCTCCGCAGCCGCGCTGCCTCCGCAGCCGCGCTGCCTCCGGCCGCCTGCCCCAGCGCCGCCCGCGGGAAGCGGCGTGGGGGCGCCTGCTCGGGCTTCTCGTCCCGCTGCTGAGGTGTTTGGCTGCTTGTGCCCACTCGGTTGTGGCGCTTTCTGGCGATAGGTGCTGTGATTCTCTGCTAGCAGTAAGGAAGGATGCTATATCGGGGGGGGGGGAAGTTTTAGTGGCCCTGTAGAAAGAGAAATTGCGATTGTACGGGGTGAGGGGGAAGTTTTGGAGGCTTCACCGTGCTCTGAAACGAATGAAGGGTTGTATTTTCCTTTAGGGGACAGTTTTAATGGAACTTAAAATTGTTTTTTTTAAAAAGTTGAACAGTGTGCAGTCTTACTGAATGTGTAAAAAGCTCAGCGAATAAGGGAACTTGATTAAGCTTACTGTAAGCAAATGAAGACTTTGTATTTCAAACTACTTTTTTTTCTTTTTTTTTTTTTTGTTCCTTTGAAGTTCAAATTTGTGTTGATTGAACTAAGTGGTAGTAAAAGGCGAACTGTGGTATCGTTGCTAGGCTTTGCCTCCAAAGTATATATTCTTTTTGCCTGGTTTAAAGACTTTGTTTTTAGCAAGTATTTAGCAAAACGGATTTATGATACAAATGACAAGAGAGTCAAATACAGGAGCATTAGAAGCCAGTAGCATTTTTCACATACATTATAAAATCCATACAAACTGACCAGCAAATTCCTCAGGATAAGCAGACCTCCCTCTGGAAGTGGGAGCTGTATTACTCTTTTTATTTTATTAAAAGTAGTCAATCCAGGTGTGGAAATTCCACTACTAAAATTAAGAGGGTTTTTTTTAAAAAAAAAAAAAAAAAAAAAAAAAAACAGAACAAAACAGCATTCCCTAAACTTCAAGCATTTGGTAATGTGATATGAAGCCATTCACCCCGGGTCATTATTAGTGATAGAAAGTAGTTAAACAATTGACAGCTGTTTCACCATCTCTGTTCAGTTCCTCCGGTCCCGGTGCCTGTCTGCACTGGAAAACCAAACCGGCCACCACAGTCAGGAGCCCTCCTGGCAGTGCTGGGAAGGAAAACAGGACAAAAAACAAAACTGTTCCTTAAAGTCGGGGTCCTGTCCTAAGTTTTGTGCAGCAGCACTCATCTCTGTCTGGAGCCCACTGCACAGTTGTGGTCTCAATAAGACACATTTTTGTTTTAAAGTCAAGATCGTGTTCAGTTTGTTTGCAGATGACACTGAGATGAATAACACGTTCCCAAAGCTGATGCATAACTTTTTCTGAATGTTAGTTACACAAGCTAGCTATTCACAGATGTGTGAGATGTCAAAATACACATTTTAATATTCTCTAGGTTTAAGTGAGATTGTCAATCTATAACCAGGTTGGTTAAAACAGAAAAAAATGAACGAAGTTGCGAGTATTGTACTTCAGCTCATTTATATGATTCACCAGTTTTGTTAAAAGTATTTTTCTTGCTTAAGCATTTTATGTGCCCTGCGTGACGTGTGAAAGACCCACCCAAACTCTCCCTGTTGATCCCCATCCTCGAAGCTTTCGCACAGAGTCTAGTGCAGAAAAACTAGACTTCTCATCAGCTTCCAGAATTTGGGCAAGCACTGAATCACAAAAATTACTACTCCAAAAAAAAAAAAAAAAAAAAAAAGGCTAGAGTTCATTATAAAAACTCTTGGTCAACAGGCAGTTATAGTAAGGGAGCCAAGATACATTTACAAGTCTTGCTGAAAATGTGGTCACATTTGTAACAGAAACCAGAATCTGTACCACATGTGTAACGCAAACTGGAAAAATAACCTGATATTTTTTCCACTCGACTAATCTTTTCCATTTCTACTATCCTGGCATTATTTGTGTCAATAAAAGATGATGTAAAATTAGTTTGGAGCTGGATGAAGCTTTCTTCAGAATTATGAATATATCTTGTCCTTCTGAGGCATCTGTCATCAGCCCAATGTCCTGGGAAGGCTCATTTAATTTCCTCTGTGTGTGCAGTTGTTTAGGAACTGTTGAGCAGGTATTGCCATCACTACTGAACCGGGTTATCACCCAAGGAGAAAAAAATTTTGGTACCTTTTTTTTGAGGACAATCAGGAGGTGAATATAGTTTTTTAATGTTCAGCATTAAAAGGGGTGTCCAAATCACCTGACTTCATTTTGTGCTGTGAAATCTGTGTCAAACCTAGTAGTTTCTATCATGTCAGAAGCTGTACCATATAGGGGAAAAACATAAATACAGTTAGGGCGAAAGGATGAGAGGAAAAAAAGAACCAAAAAAAGCAATGGAAAGCATTTCTCATAAACTCGGGCCAGCACTAGGAGTCACAGAGCAATTGTAGCTCTTTAACTGAGGACTCAGACCTAAGACAGTTAATTGGTGTTGCACATGTTTCTCCAAACTAACTTCTCCAAACCGTGCTCAGAGCTGGCCAGGTATGCCATATGGCCACATCTTTAAGCAGATGTGTTCCAGATACCTTTGGGAAGTCAACAAATAGTTGTGAAGCCTCAGCAAAGAGGCAGCAGCCCTCATGGCTGCTGAATTCTTGCCAAGACTGAGGAACGGGTGTGTTTGCCTTCTGCTGCTTCATATAACACCCAGGAGTTCAACCTGCCTCTGGTGCTCTTCTACTTGGAGGATATCAGGAGGAGATGGAGCTACTGCCTTTGCCCCTAAAAGACACTGCCAATCAGCTACCCTACGGCAAACTCAAAACTATACTCACATGCACACACGTTTTTCCTTCTCTCATTTGAATTCTCTGTACAAAGGTTCCAATGGAGATAGGCAATAGGGAGGACACATCCGGGTTTGGTCAGAGTAGATGTGGTATATTCAAGAGGATTTTCCAGGAGATCGTTACCAGAGGTTCAAACAGGATCAACAAGGATAACCACACAGATGGAATGGTTTAAGTGCCTGAAATAACCAAGCAAGCCAAGATTCTTGGTCTATAATAGAAAAAATGTAGGGCCTAACAGATGTTTACAAGCTTTGAGTGACATGGAGTTGGTGGACAGAGATCGGTTGTTCAGTTTCTTCCAGTTACAAGAAGTAGGAGGCATGAGATGAATATAGTACCAACCAGGTTGAAAAGAAACTTCTTCACCCCACAGGTGTAAACCTGTGGAAATCCTTGCTGGAGGATGTGAGATGTTTTTAGGGGCTCAAGGGGGCCTTGGCAGGTCTGCGGAGAGGTTACTAGGTATGCTACTGAACCAACATCTGGCCCAGGAGATCACTGTGATGAAAGTAACTGTAGGTTGGGAGAGTACTTAGTGGTAATATCATACATGTTTGCCTCGTCGTTACTTTCCTTGGCCGGTTGTCTCTTAACAGTTTTCCAGAGTAGGGTACTGGAACAGATGGATGTTTTGTGGGGTTTTTGGCCAAATGCAGCAATCTTCCTACCCTGAGGAATCCTATGAAGAAGGACATGGCTTCCCATCAAGATTTCGTAGGACAAAATGTATCTCTTATATTTGTTCTTTAAAAACCACTAAGATCTTTCTACCCCAGCTCATGTACCTCCACCTGTATGTGGCAGTTGAGCGTGTTCCCTCCATTTTCTACACCACTTGTTCTTCCAAAGCCTTTTCAGAGTGTGCCTCATCTCACCCTCTGCTCTCACCTCCAATAACCAAATGCAGGCAAAGGCTGAAAAAACTTGGCCAGTTCTTCCCTAAGGTTTTTGCTGGAGGTTTTGGAGTCTTTTAAAATATTGGATCGAGATGTTAATTCCTCCAAAATGTTGTTCTTCTGTGGGTTGCAGTGCTGCAGATAATTGTCGTTTCTCTGTGTGAGGTAAAGGCTATGGTACATGTTTACATTATTGTGTAACAACCACCTAAAATAATCCGGGAGTGTTGAGGTGGATAACAAGGAAACTGAAAACAGTAAAGAAATGTTCTGTAATCCAAGACACAATATGCTGCAGCTACTGGGACATCACGTCCTGAAAACTGCATAAACCAACTGTTCATGTAGATAAGCACAAATATCAAATCTGAGAGCATTCAGCAAATTTCAAGTATTTTAATGCCCATTAATATCCCTACATACCATAGCTAAGTGCCTCTGATCCCACAATACCTTACATACAATAGCTGGCAATTGTTCTGTCTCATGGAAAAAACACATGGGATTGTGACGAAAACAAGTT